AAGAAGAAAAACATTCTAACGGGCTAAGAAACAGACGGTAGGGTTAAGATTTTTTTTTCATCTTTTACTTTTTTAGTAAAAAGTAAAACTGAAAATATTCAGTTTTCACAGCATAGTGAAACTGATTCACATACTAATATAAATATTATGATGTCACCTATTAAAAATATGCACGAGGACATGAACTGGTAATATATTAACGTTAAGTAAGCATGGTGGAACATGAAACCGAACTACTTGTGAGTAATATTCTCACGCAAGACAGTGATCTATTTTTGCTTAAGTCACAATGATTTCTTCTTTTCTTTATTGTCCTTTTCAACTTTCCTGAGTCCAGTCAGAGCAAACAGCTGAACTCCATTTTGAAATAATCATAACTGAGTAACATTTACCACATATGATACCAGACTCAAAACAGTCAACTCTCTAGAGACATGATGAACTCGTCATTTTCACTTTTTTTTTTGCAAACTTATACCTTTCATTCAACTTGGGGGCTGCAATAGAGGCAAGTGTACGCGGACTAGAACATAGGGAATCAACTTCTATCCTTTAAAAAGTATTTTCCTAGTTCAAATGGGACTTTAGAGATAACAGAAATGGGGTCAGCAGGTGACATAGTGGTTACATGGTGACATGGACTTCTACATAGCTGATCATGGTTCAAGTCCAGACCCGGTGGCTTGAAACTCACACCAGGTGCATGTGAATGTGCGTCCAAAATCCTCAGAGGAGAATGGAGGAAAAGGAACTGCAGTGTGGACATCCCCTAGGGGTGATTTCTCATTTTCCCTCTCTCTGTCTGTCTCTACCAAGTGTACACGCCCTATGACAAAAACCTACAAAAAAAAAAAAAGAAAGAAAGAAAGAAAAAGAAATAATAGAAATGTATAGTAGAAAAGCCTCCTAAAGAGTCAGTCCACAGAGGCTTTTAGGAGAAAAGCCTCCTAAAGAGCCTGTGTACCAGGAACTAGATCCTACATGGTTGAGCATAGTTCAAGTCCTGGCCCCAGCAGCTTGCAAAACACACTGAAGCATGTGCATGTGTGCCTAAAATTCCAACAGGAAGAAGGACTGAAGTGTATGCATGCCCTACTGAGGGAGATTTTTCTCTTTATGCTCTCCAAGCACATGTATCTTTGGACAATTAAAAAAAAAAGGCCTTCTAAAGGCAGCCAATAGAATACTGTAGCCTAGAAGAGCCATTCGCAGTTTCCTATTTCCCTCCTTGCTCTCTTAGCTGGCTCCAATCCCTTTAAAGGTCAAGAGGTAATAAAGGGGTCACATGGCCTGGTTACCTCTTCTCACCAGATCCCGTGTTCTGATACCTTCGTAAGTTTATTTCACTAACTCAGACTCTTCTCAATGCTAGTGTAACTTAAGTTTCTTTCTTTTTCAACATACTCTAGTGTATCTCTGGGGAAAGAAAAATCAATTTATAGGTTAGTAGGTGGCACAGAGGTTAAGGCAGCCAGACCCCACACGGTCAATGGCACAATTTAAGTCCCTGATCTAGGGGCTTGAAAATTATGCCAAGTGTGTGTGCATGTGTACCTAAAATCCCAACAGGAGATTTAAAAAGGTATTACAGCTTGGCTATTCCCTCTGGGGAGTGATTTCTTACTAACCCCCATCTCTTTCTCTGTGCCTTGTAGCAAAATTTAAAAAGAAACAAAAAAACAAAAAAAACAAAAAAAACAATTTAAAACAAAAATGGGGGGATCAGCAAATGGTATAATGGTTCTGTTACTGGAGTCCCCGTAGTTGACCACAGTTCTAGTCCTGGATCCAGCAGCTTAAAACTCACACTAGACGCGCGTGGGCCCAAAATCCCAAGAGGAAAATGGAGAAGGGACTGTAGCGTGGCTATCCCCTCTTGGGGGTGATTTCTTGCTTTCTGTCTCTGTCTCTCAGGTGAGCGCATGTGCCCTATAGCAAAAATATGTCTAGAAACAAACAAACAAACAAACAAAAAACAAGCAAATATGGGGCTGGTTCCATAGCCAGGTGGTTAAGGCAGCCAGGTCCCACATGCAGTTTGACTCCTGGACCCAGTGACATGAGAAATAGGCTGAGCACATGTGCATGTGTGTTGAAGTCCCAAAAAGAGGGAGAGATGGGCAAGATGGAAGAGAGAGAGATGGGAGAGAAGGCATGTACTGTGAACACTCCCCACAGAGGCTGCTTTCTCCTACCCCGATCTCTGTCCCTCTTTGGCAAGTGCATGTGTCTTCTAGCAAAAAAAGTAACAAAACATAAATGAAAGAGCAAAAATGTAATAATCTTTGGTTTTAGCAATAGCTAATGTTTTTGAGAGGTAAACCATCTAATAATCAAGCCGCTTTTAAGTAAGCTTGCATTTGAAAATCAGGATACTAGTTGGTTTTTGAAGAAGTCTTTTACTAAAATACGTAGCTTTAAACACCTATCACTCCAAGAGAAAAGAAAAAAAAAAACTTCCCTACTTACCGATTCTACTTCTGGGTAAAAATACAAAAGAACTGAAAGCAAGGTCTCAAGAAGCTACTTATACATCCATGTTCATACATTATTACAACAGGCTAAGCGTAAAAGCAATGTAAGTGTTCGGAACCGGCAGGTGGTATGATGGTTAAGGTGGTTGGACTCCCATGTGGCTGACTGCAGTTCGAGGCCCATACCTGGCACCTTGCTTTATCACTTTCCTTCTCTCTCTCTCTGGTCAACTTCAAAAATAAATAAAAATAATGATAATGAATAAAATTAAATAAAAATAATTCTTTTTTTAAAAGAAGCTATGTGTTTATCAACAGATGAATGGATAAACAAATGTGATATATACATACAATGAATTTCTTTTTATTTACTTTTATCATTCATTCATTTTATTTTAATTTGACCAGAGAGAGACAGAGAGAGAGAGAGAAAGAGGGAAAGTGAGAAAGCAAGCCACAGGTCCAGGACTTGAACCATGGTCAGCCATGTGGGAGTGTCCAGCGCCTTAACCACCACACCACCTGCTGGTCCCTATACAATGAAATATTAATATTATTCAGCCTCAAGAAGGAAATTCTGATACATGTTACAAAATGGATGAACCTTGAAAATATATGGTAATTGAAATAAGCCAGTCACTAAAGGACAAATAATTCCACTGATAGGAGGTCTCTAGAGTAGTCAAATTCAGAGTGAAAGAAAGCAGAAGGGTGGTTGTACGGGGATAGGGGAAGGAGGAACATGGAGCTGTTTAATGGGTACAGAGTTATAGCTTTCCAGGATGAGAATTCTGGAGACGGTTTATACAACAATGTGAATGTACTTAACAGTGAACTATGCACTTAAACATTTACTAAGATGGTGAATTTGGGGACCAGCAGATGGTGTAGCAGTTACATCTCTAGACTCCCACATAGTTGACTGCTATTTTGAGACCTAGACTCAGTGGCCTGAAGTGTGTGAGTGTGTGCCAAAGATCATAGGAGAAGAGACTGCAGCGTGGCCATCCCCCAAGGGGTGAACTTCTCACTTTCTTTCTCTGTCTGGCAAACACACATGCCTTGAGGCAAAAGCCTCTTTTTAAAAAAAGTGATAAATTTTATATGTATTTACCACAATTAAAAACCAAAACTTCCTGAGACCAGCAGATGGCATAATGGTTAGGCTGATGGACTCCAACGTAGTCAACTCTGGTTCCAATCCAGACCTGATGACTTAAACTCATGGCAGGTGCATGGTGTACATGAGTGTCAAAAATCCCAAAAGGAAAATGGAGAAGGGATTGTGGCATGGTCATGCCCCTTAGGGGCATGTCTCTCTAGCAAGTGCATGCATCCTATAGCAAAAACTTCTAAAAAAAAAAAAAAAAAACAAAACCAAAAAAACCCACATGTAAAACTTCCCTGTCTCAAAGCTATATCCTAGGGTTAAAAACTCTTTCTAGTTTTTTTTTTTTTTTTAGAGGTTTTTGCCATAGGGCGCGTGCGCTCGCCAGAGACAGAAAGCGAGAAATCACCCCCCAGGGGGGATGGCCACGCCACAATCCCTTCTCCTCCATTCTCCTCTTGGGATCTGGGACACGCATGCACACGCACCCAGCTTGAGTTTCAAACCACCGGGTCCGAGACGCGAACTGCGGTCAACTACACCGGAATCCAGCAACATAACCATTACGCTAACTGTTGGTCTCCTCTTAAGTTTTGAACTACTGTGATATCCATCATTTCAACAGCACATGGAAGGGTGAGAAGTCAAGTGAGACAAATAGCTCCTTTTGAGCACTTTATGCTGCTTAATGACAGGTGTATTGTCTGAAATAATTAGCTTTTAAAAAGGAGTAGCCTTAATCTTCCTCTGGAACTGGTTAGTGATCTTAGTTTCCCTTCATTAAGTTCCTGACAGCTCAGTGTCCTCACATCTGTCACTGTTTGGGAGATTCAATCCAAGAACATAAACTGCTTCAAGGACTAGGCAACAAATTTATTCTGGTTCACAGGCCAGATCTGATCCCATCTGTTTTCTAATCAAAAGCCATATTTGAATCAGTTTTGTTCCATCACAGGACCATACTAATGGGAGCAATACAATCATATGGTGTTTTCCTCCTTCCTTTCTGTGTAGTACAGATGATTACAGGAAACAAAAATCAATTAAAGACTTAAGAGCATCCTCAGAAATAAGATCTTTGCAAACTATATGATCCGCAAGCTCTTTAATCTTTGTTTATTCTTCAGAGCACTGATTACTTTTCTTCTTAGAGACAAGGTTTCTTTTCTTTTCTTTTTTTAAAGAGTTATTTCATTTACTCATTCGTTTATTTTAATTTGACCAGGCAGAGACACAATGAGAGAGAGAGGGAAAGTGAGAAAGTAAGCCACCAGGTCCAGGACTCAAACCACGGTCGGCTATGTGGGAGTGTCCAGCACCTTAACTACCATGCTACCTGCTGGTCCCCAGAGACATGGTTTCTTTTGGAAATTTTACAGGGGGTAAATCATTCTATATGGTGAAAATAACCAACTTACCTTAATCTTTTTTTCAATTGTAAACTGTCATGGATGATCCTTTTAACAAACTCTAATTCACCTCCTTCTGCCATGATCTCTGTGATACCTCCCGTATTTACAGAACTGGGTGGAGGTCTTCGAGGATTTCGAGAGTTTACTCCCTGAACAACAACAATGAAAACTCTGGTGAAAAATTCTTATACCTTAAGAAAAAACATTTTCAAGCACACAGCCCTGTGACAAAGGCACTGTTATTCCATGTCACAAGCAAGGAAAGGTGAGACTGAGTTCCCAAGGTCCTAGAGCTGATTTAGGAGGCCTGGATCCAAATCTAACAGGCTAGCCCCAGAGTCTAGACTTAGAAAGGAAGATACTTTTAGATGATGATAAGTGCTATACAGAAAAGTAAAATGTTAACCTGAAAAAAAAAAGGAAAAAGAAAAAAATATTTACATCAAGTCTTTGAATATAAGAATGTAATTTGGGGGGCTGGCAGGTGGCGTGGAGTTTAAGGGTGCTGGACTCCCACATGGCTGACCATGGTTTGAATCCCAGGCCTGGCGGCTTGCTTTCTAACTTTCACTCTCTCTCTCATTCTGTCCCTATCTGGTAAAATATAAGTAAATAAATAAAGTCAAATAAAATAATTTAAAAAAATAAAAAAGAATGTAATTTGGGGACCAGCAGTTGGCATAATGGCTGTGTTGCTGGATTCCCACATAGTCAACCACAGTTCGAGTCCCGGACCCAGTGGCTTAAACTGATGCCAGGTGTGTGTACGTGCATGCCCAAGATCCCAAGAGAAGAATGGAGGAGAAAGAATTATGTCATGGCCATCCCCTGGGGGGATGGGTAGGTGGGTGATTTCTCACTTTCTGTTTCTCTGTCTGTCTCTGTCTTTCTGGCGAGCACATGCACCCTGTAGCAAAATACTCTCCAATAAAAAAAGAAAGAAAAAAAATGTAATTTTACTTTCCTAATATTATGCAAGATTTAGGAATTAACAGTCTCATAGCCACTCTAATATTTTAAATAATTGCATTCCTGTATATAGTCCTTCCCAGGACTTCCACCTTTCATCATTATAATTAAACATAAAATCTTAATAATTAAATTAATCTTAATAATTAAACATTAAATTTTTTTTTTTGGAGAGATTTTTCCTATAGGGCACGTGCGCTCGCCAGACAGACAGCCATAGAAACAGAAACCGAGACATCAACCCCAGGGGGATAGTCATGCCGCAATCCCTTCTCCTCCATTCTCCTCTCGGGATCTTGGGCACGCACACACACACGCCCGGCATGAGTTTTAAGCCACTGGGTCCAGGACGCAAACCGCATCGACTACATGGGAGTCCAGCGACATAGCCATTACGCTAACTGCTGGTTCCCTTAAATCTTTTAATATAGCCCAATTTGTCATTATCTCCTGTCTTGGTATCATTCATAGAAAATCTATTAAAAGGGACCAGCGGCTGGTGTAATGGCTATGTCGCTGGACTCCCATGTAGTCGATGCGGTTTGCGTCCTGGACCCAGTGGCTTAAAACTCATGCCGGGCGTGTGTGTGTGCGTGCCCAAGATCCCGAGAGGAGAATGGAGGAGAAGGGATTGTGGCATGGCCATCCACCCTGGGGGGTGATTTCTTGCTTTCTGCCTCTCTGTTTCTATCTGTCTTTCTGGCAAGTGTACATACTTTATAGCAAAAATCTCTCTCTCAAAAAAAAATCTACCTGAAGGCTAATTAGTTACTTATGTGTTCTTCTAGTGTTTCTATGGCTTTGCTTTTTAAATTTAAATACTTAATCTATTCTTACTTCATATCATATAAAAAAATAAATTCAAAATGCATGAAGAACTAAATGTAAAAGCTGAAATTATTATATAAACTCTTAAAAGAAAACAAGAATATTCATGACCTAGAATTAGGCAATGGTTTCTTTGATATAAAACTAAAAGCATAAACAGCAAAAAAAAAAAAAAAAAAAAAAAAAAAAAAAAGAAAGAAAGATAAATTGTACATCATCAAAATTAAAAACTTCTCAGGACCAGCAGTTGGCATAATCGCTATGTTGCTGGGCTCCCATGTAGTCAACTGCAGTTCGAGTCCTGGACCCGGTGGCTTAAATTCATGTCGAGCATGTGCACATGGGTGCCCAAGATCCCGAGAAGAGAATGGAGGAGAAGGGATTGCGGTGTGGCCGTCCCCCCTCGGGGAGTGATTTCTCGCTTTCTGACTCTGTCATTCTGGTGAGCACATGCACCCTATAGCAAAAATCTCTCCAATTTAAATAAATAAATAAACACACACTTCTGAGCTACAAAAGATACCATCAAGCAAGTGAAAAGACAACCCACAGAATGGGAGAAAAATTTTTGCAAACTGTTATCTAATAAAGGACTTGTATCTAGGATATATAAAGAATTCTTAATAACAATTATGTATAACACAATTATGATAATTATAAATAATATCTAAGAATACTCAATAATAAAAAGAAAAACAACCAATTTAAAAATGGACAAAGGATCTGAACAGGCATTTCTCTAAATAAGATATACGAATGGCCAGTAAGTGTATGAAAAGATGCTCAACATCAAGCCATTAGGGAAATACTAATCAAAACCACAAGATAACACTTCATACCTACTACGACAGCTATAATCAAACAAACAGATACATAGAAAGAAGCGTTAACAAGGATGCGGACTGGAACCCTCGTATACTACTGCTGGTGAGAATATAAAATGGTACGGTCACTTTGAAAAATTGTCTAGTAGTTCCTACTTAAACAGTTACCATATGACCAAGTAGTTTCACTCCTGGGTATATAGCCAAGAGAAATGAAAACCAATGTTCATAGGAGCATTACATATTCAAGTTAAAAGGTTGAAAACAACCCAAATGTCTATCAACTGGTGAATGGATAAGTAAAATGTGATATATTCATTCAATGGAATGGATACACTAATACACCACCTACAACAACCCCTTAAAAGCATTTATTCTTGGGACCAGCAGGTGGCGTGGTGGTTAAGGTGCTGGACATTCCCACATGGCCAACAGAGAGGTTTGAGTCCCGGACCTGGTGGCATACTTTCTCACTTTCCTTCTCTTCTCTCTGTGTGTCTCTCACTGGTCAAATTAAAATGAATGAATGAATAAATAAAATTAAATAAATAAATAACTGTTTAAAAAAGCATTTTTTTTTTTTTTTTTCTGGAGAGGGTTTTGCTATAGGGCACGTGTGCTCACCAGAAAGACAGAGAGAGACAGAGAGACAGAAAGCAAGAAATCACCCCCGAGAGGGGATGGCCATGCCGCAATCCCTTCTCCTCTATTCTCCTCTCGGGATCTTGGGCATACACGCATGCACATGCGCCCAGTGTGAGTTTAAGCCACCAGGTCCGGGACTCAAATCACAGACACATAGGTGTCTAGCGACATAGCCATTACGCCAAGTGCTGGTCCCAAGCATTTATCATTCCTAGTAAAAGAAGCCAATCACAAAAGACGACATATCAAATGATTACATTTAAGTCCAAAACTGGGTCAGCAGTTGGTTAGATCCCACATGGCCAACTGTGCAGTTCAAGTCCTAGATCCCAGAGGATTGAGAAAACATGCCAGCTATGTGTGAATGCATGCCCCAACTCCCAAGAGAATGGAAAAGGGACTATGGTGTGGCCATGCCTCATGGGTTGTGATTTCTCACTTTGCCTGTCTGTCTCTCTCTCATCTCTGTCTGGCAAGTGCAGACACCCATTGCCAAAAACAAAACGTATTTATGCTTAACCGGCTGGCACAGCTAGCAACAAACTGAACTGCAGTGCTAGAAGCCACATAGTTGACTGCAGGCTTGGAACCTGGGCTTGGCCTGAAAACATCCCAGGTATGAGTAAACATGCACAAGACTCTAATGTGTTCCAGTGCTAGGGAAAGGGGACTGAGATAGGAGGAGACCCTGCTGTTGGTGCTTCTCTCTTTCACATATGTATATGCACTATCATGTATAAAATAAATAAGTTAACTTAAGAAAAAATAATTTACTACATCTAAGCTTAGCCCAACATCACAGATTAGCAGGGCCAACCTAAAACATGCTCAGAATATTTACATTAGCCTACAGAGGGGCAGTACCACCTAACACAAAGTGTTTATAATGAAGTGTTGAACATCTCATATAATTTACTGAACACTGTTCTGAAAGTGAAAAACACAATAAGCATATGGGCATTTGAAGTATGGTTTCTACTGAATGTGTCACTTTGGCACCACTGTAAAATAGAAAAGTCCTAACTGAAACCATCACAAGTTGGGAACCATCTTTATTCAATTACAATAAAGCAAAAGATACTTTACCTTTGCTTCCAACTGATTGGCAAAAAAGGGAGGGTTGCACATGCAAAAATCATAGATTATTTCAGATTCTTCTTTAAGAGCATCCATCAAGAGTGTCTTCTGTGGCACTTTTACCACTATGAGAAAAAATAGGGACTGTTAACTAGTAAAAGTATTAATGTTCTGGTAGTTTTTAAAAACGTCCACAAACTCTTTGACACTATTTCCTTCAAGAGGTGAAATTTAATTTCCCTCCCCTTGAGTGTAGGATGTACTTAAGTGACTCAATTTTATTGAACAGAGTATGATGGGAGTGACAGGGTGTCACCTTAGAAGCTAAGTCAAAAAAAGGGCAAGCTATAAAAAGGGCAACCTCCTTTGTCCTTTCTCTTGAAATACTGGGTAGTCAGGAAAGTCATGATATATTTTTCCATGCAAAAATGCATCATTGGAACCAGCAGATGGAGTAATGGTTATGTCGCTGGACTTCCACATGGCCAATTGTGGTTCATGTCCTGGACCCAGCAACTTGAAACTCATGCTGGGTCCATGAGTGTGAATGCCCAAGGTCCCGAGAGAAGAATGCGGAAAAGGGATTGCGGTGTGGCCATCCCTCCTGTGGGGGTGTGTCTGTGTGTGATTTTTTTGCTTTCTGTCTCTCTGACTCTGTCTCTCAAGCAAGTGCATGAGCCCTATAACAAAAAGTTTCTCTTGGGACTAGCAGATGACATAATAGTTACATCACTGGACACCCATGTAGTCGACTGCAGTTCAAGTCCTAGATCTGGTGGCTTAAAACTCAAGCCGGGTACATATGTGGATGTGTACAAAATCCTGGCAGGAGAATGGAGGAGAAGGGATTGTGACATGGCCATTCCCCCTAGGAGGGATGATTTCTTATTTTCTCTCTCTCTGTCTTTTGCTGTCTCTCTGGTAAGCTTATGCACCCTACAGCATAAAATTCTCTCTCTCAAAAAAGAAAAAGCATCATGACTTTTCTGACGACCCAATACTTAACTTGCTCTTCGAGAGGTCAATTGCCATGCTTAAGGACATTCAAATGGCTCTGGAGAGAGAGCTTTAGAAATGAACTAAAGCTTCTTTGCAATGGCCACATGAGTGAGTCACCTTGGAAGTCACCACCATTAAGTCCTTCAGATATTGCAGCTCTAGCCAATAACCTGATGGCAGTCTCAAGAAAAACTGAACTGAAACCACCTAACTAAGCCACACCCAAACTCCTGACCCTAAGAGAAACTAAGAGACAATAAGTGTTTATAAGATAATAAATTTACTGTTTAAAGCTGATCGATTTTGGTACAATTAGTCACACAAAAACGGAGAACTAAACAAAATACATTAATAATATTCATATGCCTCTTACAATGATATTTTAACACTACTAAGACTTATTTCTTTCAGAGACATGAAATCTCTTTAATAAAAATATTAATAGTGCTTTATACATAAAATTAGCACACACAAAAAAGGTACTGCTCACAGGGAATTTGACTATATTTAGTACAATTCCAGATGCTGAAGCAGTAAGTTTAACTGACAACAGGGTTCCCCCCCACCTTTTTAAAAGGTTTTTGTCATAGGGCACGTGTGCTCGTGGGAGAGAGACAGAGAAAGGGAAAATGAGAAATCACCCCCTAGGGTGGATGGCCACACCGCAGGCCCTTCTCTTCCACTCTCCTCTCTAGCTTTTGGGCACAGATGTACACATGCCCAGTGTGACCGTCAAACTTCGAGGTCTGGAAACTGAACCATAACTGGCCACATGGAAGTCCGGTGCCTAAACCACCACTTCACCTGCTGGCCCCAAGGTTTCCTTCCTTTTAAAGCCCTGGTGATTGGGGCTGGCAGGTGGCATGGTGGTTGGGAGCACTGGACTCCCACATGGCCGACCTCGGTTCGAGTCCCAGACCCGGTGTCTTGCTTGCTCGCTCGCACACGTTCTTGCTCTCTCTCTCTCTTTCTCTCTTTCTCACTCTTACTCTGTCCCTCTCTCTGGTCAAATTAAAATAAATAAAGTTAAATAAAATAATTCTTTGGAAAAAAAAATGAAAGGTCTGGTGACTAAACTACTTTATATACAGTCAATTTTTCTTTATTTGCAGTAGTTAGTATTTTCTATCAAGTTGCCATGAACAATGAATCAGAGAATACTGAACCACTGGCTCCTAGGGCAACACAAGGTTGGGTTCCTGCAAGTCTCTAATCACAACAGTGTCATCAACTGATGGATATATACCCTTGCTTTATTTTGTTTCTGTTTAAAGATAGCTTATTTAATATACACTGCTGATGCATTCATTAACACTGAACTCATAGCCACTGCTCTAATTCTCATCTAAACTCCTGTCATGGAAAACAGAAGCTTTTTAAACCAGTTAAACTGTTTTGTATGATAGTGTCATGGTAGATACATGTCATTTTCATTTGTCCAAAAACATAGAATATATAATATACCAAGAATGAACACAAATGTAAACATGAACTCTGAATGATGATGTACTGATGTAAGTTCAGCTACTGTAAGAAATGCTGCCTTCTGGTGAAGAAGTTGATGAGACAGGCTACAGCCTATAGGAAGGCAAGGGGTACTTAGGAAATGTCAGTACTGTGCACTGAGTCTTGCAGTAAACCTAAAACTAGTCTATGAAAACATACAAACAAATAAACAACCATTTAGTTTCTGGAAATGATCCCTAAAGCATACAGGAAATAAACATTTATTCAAGAAAACTGACTAAAATAACAGATCAATGTATTTCAGCATGTAAGCAAACTCATAAATAAATATGGGACCCATGAATAATGAATAGTGACTGTATTTACTATTTTCTATCAAAATAGCAAACGCAATTACAATGTGCCAAATTTTTAAAAATCACAAAAGTCTATGCATTAAACTCAGATTAGAAAGATTGGTAAATAAATAAACTTATAGGGAATATTTATTCTGTAGAGCTAACCTTTTATGAGATCAGATAAATTATTCTGTTCCACATTTTTCTTTGCATAGTTGAAACACATATCATCCACTTCTGTTGCAAGGAAATACCAGCCATTTAAGGTTGCTCCAAGTAAGGGATAGATGCAGGACGCACCAGTACCTAGTAAGATGAAAATTCAAAACACATACTACACATCAGAGGGAAAGGTGATAATAACAGTGAAAACACTATTCTCCTTTGCTCAGATTTTTTTAAAATTTGACCAGAGAGGGACAGAGAGAGAGAGAGAGAGAGAGAGAGAGAGAAAGTGAGAAAGCAAGCCACCAGGTCCAGGGCTCGAACCGCAGCCAGCCATGTGGGAGTCCAGTGCTCTTCACCATGTCACCTACCAGCCCCCTTTCTCAGAATTCTTACACCCTCATGCAGCAGTATAAACCACACACTGGCACGATTTCATATGTGCTGTGGCTAGTGGGTTCTTTAGTCATTTCATGTACATTAGCCTTTCCTCATAATAAGACTTAAATTTCCTGGGACCAGCAGATGGCATAATTGTTACATCACTGGACTCCCACACACTCAACCGTGGTTCAAGTCCTGGACCTGATGGCTTAAAGTTCACACCAGGTGCGCATGTGTGCGGTGTCCAAGATCTTGAGAGGAGAATGGAGGAGAAGGGATTGCGGTATGGCCATCCCCCCCTAGGGGTGATTTCTCGCTTTTTGTCTTTTTCTGTCTCTCCAGTGAGCGCGCATGCCCTATAGCAAAAATCTCTCTACTGAAAAAAGAAAGAAAGAAAGAAAAAAGACTTAAGCTTCCTAGAGGATCAGAAAACTCACTGTTCTTTTGTGTTTTATGTAAAATGAAGTGCACATCATCAGAGGTCAGGGAATTCATGACTAGTTAATTTAATTATCTTAACTGCCATACCTTAAATTACCAGCCCCAAAACTTTTCCATTTAAATTTCATACAAAACTTCATTTGCTTAAAAGAAGTCAATGCTATTTGTTAAAATTCCATAGTAATTGCTTAAAAACCATCAATGTACATCCCAGTCTTCAAAAGCAGAAAAAAATACACATGATATGCAATTTTCATGATATAAACTACCCAAGTCCGCATACTTCTTTGTTGTTACTTGAATGAAACCAGAAATTAAAAAAAAAGAAGAAGAAGAATTTGTTTCTTAGATGTGGAGCCATGAAAAGACACTTAATTTGGATCCAAAACATGAGAGCCATTGGCTAGCTCTCCCACAGTTTCAAGGGAGGTATTCACAGGCAAACACTCCAGGCAAAAATCACTGACAACGAGGGTTTGGCCCAAAACATGTATGAAGAACCTCTAGTCTTGGACTGCACTATATACTAACCACAAATACTATTTATCAACCACTGACTAAGCCTACTCAATTAAATCCTAAGGAGTATATTTAAGAGAAAGGACATCAATGTTTCTCTTAAGGACCTCCAGAAGTCAGCTTATCCCAGCTATTCCAGGCCTGCTTTCCCCTGATCACATCCTAGTCTAGCCTCCTAAGGGTCTGGTGGGAAAGGGTAGAGGTTGGAGTTAATCCTAACCCAGAGGAAATCCAGGCTCATCGGACTGCTTCCTCATTAGGTATTCAGAATAAGCTAATATAAGACAGGACAGGGGTGGTCCAATGGCACAGAGGTTAAGTACTCTGCAGAAGAAGCCAAATCTCACATGACCAACCGGAGTTCTAATCCAAGTTCCGACATGCTAAACACATGCACATGTACCCAGGATTAGATGCAGAAATGAAAGAAAAAAGGATCATGGCAAGAATAGGCAACACTGTGGTGTTTTCTCTCTCAATTTCTCCCCCCCTCATGCATGTACACACACCTTTAGGCATGAAGGAAGGAAAGGAAGGAAAGGAAGCAAAGGAAGCAAGGAAGGAAGGAAGAAAGAAAGAGGAAAAGGAAAAGGGAAAGAAAAGAAAAAAAAAGAAAAGAAAAAAGGAAGGAAGCAAGGAAGGAAGAAAGAAAGAAAGAGGAAAAGGAAAAGGGGAAGGGAAAGAAAAGAAAAGAAAAGAAAAGAAAAGAAAAGAGAAAAGAAAAGAAAAAAGAAAAGAAAAAAGAAAAGAAAAGAAAAGAAAAAAGGAAGGAAGGAAACGAACGAACAACAGTTGATGCCTGGAACAGTAAAGCTCTGACAGCTACAGTGGCTGCTGCACTGCCTGTCATGTGTGCCCAGCAATCTCCTGGTCCCAGTGCTATGGGGCAAAAAAATTGATTCTTGGGAGAATTGTGAGGTAGTGAAGACAGGTGTGGTAAGAGGTACCCAAGCTCCTCTCAGAAGCCACAATTACCTAGCCCTACGAGTCATTCTGGTAAACCAGAGCTATTCGAAACAAGATTCCAATACTACTTTCAGCTTTGTAGGAAAAATATCTAGATCAGATCCCAAGTCCTTGACTCTCAACAACTGCTTCTCTCTAAGCCTACTTTCCTTCAGACTCATGAGGGTAAAATACCTATCCTCCACCTAAAGAAAGGTTTCTCAAGTCTCAAGACCAAAAGACCTGAATTATTACACTCTAATCCCTCAGAAAGCCAAATGACATTTTAAATGGGTAGTAATCATTGTAATGATAAATAAAAATGGAAAGTATATAATCAAAGAATTAGAGCAAACCGATGGAGTCTGGGGGAAGAATTTATATAAAACCCTAATTAGAATGAATGTGATTTCAGAAAGCAGTGCCCCTTGTGAAGAGCTAAAATCCATTAACCTCCTATATCCCCAAGTGCTATTTTAGAAGGTTTGGGGCATAATTAAAATCAAATTAGTACCAAGTAGGCTGTCAAGCTTTTTAAGATTTCTAGAACCCATCAGACCAATATTCTGCCATGATTATAAAAGGGCAAAAGCTTTGTTAAACCCCACTGCTTTACATAACACATAGCTCATAGGCAATGGTCAGAATTTTGGAATGTTAAAAGAATGCCCTATTGGGAGTGCAGCGATGGCGTAATGGCTGTCCCTGGACTCCCATGTAGTCGACCGCGGTTAGGGTCCCGGACTCGGTGGCCTAAACTCACGCCGGTGAGACTGCGTGCATGCCCAAAATCCTGAGAGAAGGGACTGAGGTGTGGCCATGCCCCCTGGGGAGTGATTTCTCGCTTTCTGTCTGTCTCTCCCTCTTTTTTGCGAGCGCACACACCCTATAGCAAAAACCTCTTAAAAAAAAATAGAAAAAAGAATGCCCTATTTAACCATAAGCATGCAACAAATTTGCTGGACACCTACTAGGTATCAGAAACTTTCTAAGCCTTGGGATATTACAATAAGCAAAGAACAACAGACTGCACTGTGTAATCTCGTGGCAGAGAATGACATTAACCAAATAATCAGGTAAGTGAATGTGTAGTTAAAACTAAAATAAAGGCAGGTCATGGTGCAGTGGTAATCAAACTGGATTCACACAGCAAAAGGGCCTGGGTTTGCATTCTGGAAGCTTGCTGAGCACGCCGTGTGTGTGCAAGAACACCCAGGATCAGGGCTGGCAGTTACTCGTGGTAGATGTCAGGCTGGGGACTCTGTTGGGAGTGCCTGTCTCTCTGTCACTCTCTTTTTTTTAAAAAAAAATTTTTTTTTAGAGGTTTTTGCTATAGGGCGTGTGCGCTTGCCAGACAGAGACAGACAGAGAGATAGAAAGCGAGAAATCACCCCCCAGGGGGGATGGCCACACCACAATCCCTTCTCCTCCATTCTCCTATTGGGATCTTGGGCATGCACGCACACGTGCCTGGCGTGAGTTTAAGCCACTGGGTCCGGGACGCGAACCACGGTCGACTACATAGGAGTCCAGCGACATAGCCAACTGCTGGTCCCTCTTGTCTCTCTCTCGTGGAAGAGATAAATAAACTTGAAAAAATAAAATAATTACCATGAAGGAAGACTCTGCTGAGAAAACAAGGCTTGAGCTAACAACTAAAGTATAAAGAGAATTAAATATGGGAAGCAGGGGAAGTTCCAGGCAGAGGGAATAATATACACAAAGGCCTGGGGTCATGATGAGTTATTAGAAGAACTAAAAGACAAGGAAAAGAATCACATTAGATGCTTAGAAAAGCTTAGAAAAGAGAGTAAAGATCACACAATGGAATTCTAACTTAGGCCTACTCCGAGTTTTATATGCTTATCAAAAAAACCAAAAGCCATTAAAGCAGTGAAGATGTTATTAGATATGAATTTATACATATTTTCTGGATGTAGCATAGAGAATGGAAATTTTGGGCAACAGAACAGATAGATGAGTGCTGACCACGCGAGAAGCGATTCTGTAGATGAGGTGAGAGATGGTGGTGACTTAGGCTGGGATGGTGGCAATGGAGATAGAACTAGATAATTTAAGATACATTTAAGAGAAAAAAAAAATCAACAGGAAATACTGACAGACATTCTCAGTCAGAATGGGAGAAGTAAATATCAAGGCGAACAGAGCAGATTTACTGAAATATATCATACAGGGGCCAGCAGGTAGTGCGGTTAAGGTGCTGGACTCCCACGTGGTTGGCTATGGTTCAAGTCCTGGACTTCTTGACTTGAAATTTATGATGGGCATACATGTGTGTGTACCCAAAATCCTGAAAAGAATACAGAGGAGAAAGAACTGTGGCATGACCATCCCCTCAGGGAGAGATTTCTTACTTTCCTTCTCACTGTTAGTCTCTCCAGCAAGCACATGCACACTATTACAGAAACCTTTAAAAAAAAAAGAAAGACATACACTATATAGATATACAAAAATTAAATGTAAAAAAGAAATTGTTTCAAAAAGAAAAAACTGGGAAAAAAATTAAGAAAAAAATTATAAGTTTGATCTTGGACACTGTAAGCCTGAGTTTTTTTTTTTTTTTTAAAGGTTTTTGCTATAGGGCGCGTGAGCTCACCAGAAAAACAGAGAGAGACAGAGAGACAGAAAGCGAGAAATCACCCCACATAGGGGAAGGCCACACCACAATCCCTTCTTCTCCATTCTCCTCTTGGGATCTTGGGTACACATACTGGCCGTGAGTTTAAGCAACCAGGTCCAGGACTCGAACAGCGGTCGACTACATGGGAGTCTAGCGACATAGCCATTACACTAATTGCTGGTCCCTTAGTCTGAGATGTTTTTGAGATACTCAAGTTTCTCATGAGACTAGAGGTCAAGAAAAGTAACCTGAGTTGGAAGAATACGTAAATATGTGTCTTGCTTGCACAGAGGTAGGAAACAGAGATGTGAATGAAACTGCCTAGGGTAGAGTACTGAATGAAAAAAGGGCTAAAGACTGAGTTGTAATTAAGCATTATCAGTACCTAATGATCAAATACAGGAAGGTAGGCCTGAAAAGTGGAGAAGAGTGAGTAGAAATAAAAGAGGAAAGCCAGAGGACACTGGTGCCAAGTAGATTGAGAATGAAATGCTGTTGAGGCCAGCTCAGTAGTAGAGCGGTCATGCATTATCTAAAGCAATGCTGAACCCATAGAGAACATTCCAAGTTCAATTCCTTAGTCAACCCATACATGCTAGCACATGATCCTAGCTGGCTGGGAAGGCCAAGAGGGATCAGGGTTTGGTACCCTGTTGAGGGTGTCTTTTTTTTTTTTTTTATAAGCCAGAGGATGTGTGTCCTCTTGAGAAAGAGAGAGAGAGAGAGAGAACACCCCCTAGTGGGGCATAATCACTGCACAATCCCTTCTTCTCCATTTGTACAACCTGTCAGAATCTTGGGCATGCTTGCCCAGCATGTTTCTCAAGCCCATGTGGCTGCATCTGAACTGCATGGTGGGCGATGTGGGATCTGGCTCTCTTAAACACCAGGCCACAGGACTGGTCCAGGGTGCCTGTCTTTTACTTCTTTTTGTCTCACTTTCATGACAATACACTAAAAACAAATATATTTCTGAAAGGTTATGTAAGATAAAGACCGAAAATGTTTGCTAAAAATGCATGCAGGGCCAGCAGGTGGTGCAGAGGTTAAGGTGGCTGGGTCCCACGTGGCCGACAGCACAGTCCAAGTTCCAGACCTAGAGGCTTGAGAAACATTTGTGCATGCTCTAGATCCTGAGAGAAGAATGGAAGAAAAGAGACTGTGGCATGGCCATCCCCCAAAGGGTTGCTTTCTCTCTGTCTGTCTCTCGCACTCTCTGTCTCCAGTGAGTACCTGTACTCTAGAGCAAAACTTAAAAAAAAAAAAAAAAAAAAAAAAAAAGCAAACTTCAAAGTTAAACATTTACTATCTAGAAATTGTGATTGCTATTTTTAAATATTCTATTTAACTTAATTTTTTTAAACTTTATTTATTTATTATTTATTTTAATTTGACCAGAGAGGGACAGAGTGAGAGAGAAAGAGAGAGAGAGAGAGAAAATGAGAAAGCAAGTCACCAGGTCCAGGACTCAAACTATAGTCAGCCACTTGGGAGTCTAGCACCTTTAAACACCATACCACCATGCCACCTGCTGGCCTGCTAATAATAACTATGCTATTTTCGGGACCAGCAGTTGCCGTAATGGCTATGTCGCTGGATTCCCATGTAGCTGACTGTGGCTCGAGTACCGGACCCAGTGGCTTGGACTCATGCTGGGCGCGTATGTGTGCATGCCCAAGATCCTGAGAGGAGAATGAAGGAGAAGGGATTGCAGCGTGGCCATCCCCACTGAGGGGTGATTTTCCGCTTTCTGTCTGTCTCTCTCTCTTTCTGGTGAGCACACACGCCCTCTATCAAAAAACCTCTCCAAACAAACAAACAAAAAAGCCAAAAAAAAAAACCTCCCCCCAAAACAATAACTATACTATTTTGAAAAACAAAATTAGCTGTGACCAGCAGGTGGCATAATGGTTAAGGTACTAGACATGGCCAACAGCAGATCAAGTCCCAGACCCTGCAGCTTAAAAATCATACCAGGCATGTATATATGTGCGCCAAAAATCTCAAGAGGAGAAGGAATTACAGCCTGGCCATCCCCCTGAGGGGTGATTTCTCACTTTCTATCTCTCCAAAGAGCACACACACCCTATAGCAAAAAATCTCTCCAAAAAAGAGTCAGTTGTTCATGGCCATCTTCCCTGGGAGCATGGGGGTGATTTCTCACTTTCTATCTCGCCAGTGAACACACATACCCTATAACAATAAAAAACAAAACAAAACAAAACAAAACAAAACGAGGAGAGGTTTCTCTCAATAAAAGAATCATTTACTTTAACTTGCTGACTTTTTTGTATCTTTAATCTCAGATTCAATACCTTCTCCAAATCACTATCCGAGACTCCTAGAAACATTCAAGCTAACATGATCTTTTGTTTTATTTTTAAAAGTCTTTTCCTTTCTTTTTTTTTTTTGGAGAGGTTTTTGCTATAGGGCACATGCACTTGCCAGAAAGACAGAGACAGACAAAGAGCTAGAAAGCAAGAAAGCACCCCTAAGGGGGATGGCCATGATGCAATCCCTTCTCCTCCATTTTCCTCTTGGGATCTTGGGCACGCACACACATGTGCTCGGCATGAGTTTAAGCCACTGGGTCCAGGACTCAAACCACGGTCAACTACATGAGAGTCCAGGGACATAGCCATTACGCCATCTGCTGGTTCCAAACTCTTTTCTTTCTTAAGAATTATTTAATTTTATTTATTTATTTTTAATTTGCTATAGGGCATGTGTGCTCGCCAGAGACAGACAGACACAGACAGAGAAAATGAGCAAGTAAGCTGCCAGGTCGAGGACTCGAACTGCTGTGAGCCATGTGGGAGTCCAGTGTGCCCCAACCACCACACCACCTGCTGGCCCTGATCTTTAAGTTAACAGAGGACATGTAAGATCGCAAGACAGAGAGGCAGAGAGAGAGAGAGAGAGAGTGAGGGAGAGAGAGAAAGCATCTCCTAATGGGACACAGTTAAGCCGCAATCCCTTCTCTTCCACTTCTCTAACCTGCAAAGATTTGAAGCATAAACACTCACATTCCCAACGTGTTTTTCAAGCTAACAAGGCCATGATTCAAACCACGTAGTTGGCCACATGCATGTGATTTGGCTCCCTGAATGATGAGGCCACGGGCCCAGCCCCATGTGATCATTTATTAAATGGCCATCACCTCAAAAATCCCAGTATGAGGACTACTGTTCTAACATCAAATAATTCAGAGTAAAAATGATGCACAATAGAAATAGATATCTCAAGGTGACATAAAAAGCTAAGTGAATAAGAGCCTCATCCTCACCTGTACTTCTCTTACCTGCTCCCTGTAAAGAGCTGGCAATCTCTTTCAAGAGAAAGCAACAGCACAAAAGCCCAAATATAGCTACAGATATTGCTGTAGCCAGGTTTTCTTTTTTAAAAAAGAATTATTTTATTTAACTTTATTTATGTATTTTAATTTGAACAGAGAGGGACAGAGTGAGAGAGCAAGAAGGAAAGTGAGAAACAAGCTGCCAGGTGCAGGACTCAAACCACTGTCGACCATGTGGAAGTCTAGTGCCCCTAACCACCACACCACCTGCCGGCCCCATGTAGCCAGCTTTATTTTAACACAACAAGAAATACCCAGTAGAAAAGTTCACAAAGAATGTGACATTGTAAAAGTTAAGAAATTTACATTTAGCTAGAAAAGAAAAGGCATATACCTATGTCGATTCCTCTTCGGAGAGTACTTTTGTCAGAGTCCTGGTGACCAATCAGATCTTCCACCCAATGAATATAGTTGAGTCTCAAGGGAACTGTGGGAATTAGTCTCTCCAATGGAATGTCAATTGAAAGTCCAAAGTCTTCCCTTAGAAGGGTACAAGTCAGAGCTCTGACGGCTCCAGGGTCTTTAAAATTAAGACTGAGGGATAGAGAAAAACGTAAAACTGATTAGTAAGGCTCATTATGCTGTATGAGCTATGCCATCAGACCACACATGAACAACGATGTAGAGCATTTAGAACAGAGGCACATACACCGGTATCTAACACAGTTGCAGCACGTGAAAGGCAGTACGGTTTTCCACCACACGCATATCCATACATGGAGCAGAGATTAAGAGTGCTGCTGTTCAAAATCCTCCCTGACTGTCCCCTTAGCTATGTGACTTTGGACAAGTTAGTTACCTCTATGGGACTATTTATTCAGCTGTAAAATGGCAATAGTACCCAGATGACAATGCAAATAGACACTGTTGCTGCTGTGAGATAAATCTGTGGAAAGTCCATACTTAGCATAATGCCTGGTACACAATAACTATTTTACAAATGCTGGCTACTGGGCCAAGCCTATAGTACAGCAGTTAAGTGCCAAAAAGAGAAAGCTGGATCCCAAATGGCCAACCAGGGCTCAAGTCTGGTTCACAGCTTGGAAAACACACCAGGCATATTCACGTGTAGGCCCAAAATCTCGACAGGATGGAGAAATGGAGCAGAAAGGACTGCAGTATGACCACATCCCATATGGGAGTACTTCTCCCACTCCATGAATGCATGTGCCCTCCGGCAACTAAAAAAAATTTTTTTAAATGAACTATTTTATTAAACCTTATTTATTTTTAAATTTGACTAGAGAAGGGTGAAGTGAGAGAGAAAGGGAAAGTGAGAAAGCAAGCTGCCAGGTCTGGGATATGAACCTCAGTCAGCAATGTAGGAGTCCAGAGGGCCTTAACCACCACGCCACCTGCTGGTCCCTAAAAATGTATTTAGGAGCCAGCAGATGGCGTGGTGGTTAAGGTGTGGTAGTTAAGGTGCTGGACACCCACATGGTTGTATACAGTTTGAGTCCGAGACCTGGAGGCTTGCTTTCTCACTCCCCTCTGCCCCCCTTGTACTTCTCTCTGGTCAAATTAAAAAAAAAAATAAAGAAAAAAAAGAATGAATGAATAAAATAAATAATTCTTAAAAATTTAAAAGTATTTAATAAAAATAGGATAAGTGGGATCAGCAGTAGGCGTAATGGCTACGTCGCTGGACTCCCATATAGTCAACCGTGGTTCAAATCCCAGATCTTAAACTCACACCGGGCACATGTGCACGTGTGCCTAAGATCCCGAGAGGAGAATGGTGGAGAAGGGATTGTGGCGTGGCCATCCTCCCTCGGGTGTGATTTCTTACTTTCTGTCTATCTGTCTCTCTCTGTCTTTCTGGCGAGCGCACATGCCCTATAGCAAAAATCTCTCAAAAAAAAAAAAAAATGAGGAGGGGGCTTTTAAACTGTCTCTTTAAAGTCTGGCCATACATTGTTACAAGAAATCTTCAAAATCTTTCTAAAAAGTGGAAGTAAAATATGAGTTTATGGGGCCAGCATTTGGTGTGGTGGTTAAGGTTCTAGATTACCATGTGGCCAATCAGGTTCGAGTCCTGGGCCTAGTGGCTTGAAAAATCATGCCAGGCATCTGCGAATTTATGTCCAAAATCACAAAAAGAGAATGGAGAAAAGACTGCAGCACGGTCATGCCCCTGGAGGGTGATTTCTTATTTTCTCTCTCTTTGTCTCCGTCTCTCTGCACAGCAAATGCACATGCACTATGGCAAAAAATAAATAAATAAATAAATAAAAATCTAAAAGTTTATTTTGGTATAAAAAAATTGAAATTGGGACCAGCAGGTGGTGTGGCGGTTTAGGCACTGGACACTCCCACATGGCTGATCATGGGTTCAAGTCCTTGACCTGGTGACTTGCTTTTTCACTCTCCCCTCCCCCTCCCCCCACATCTCTCTCTCTGGTCAAATTAAAATAAATGAATACACAAAATTAAAATAATTATTTTAAAAATTTGAAATCTATGCACTGTTTCTCATAATACATTTTTCATGAACTTTTTGGAAGTCTCTCAAATGGTCAAACACAGACCATTCTCAAATTTCTTTTTGAAATTAAAAAAAAAAAAAAAGTATTCGTTTCTTTTTTCCATGAGCAAAAATGACAGAGACAGACAGAGAAACAACATGTCCAATGGAGTCTTCATGCTATGACCCCTTCCCAGCTTTAGCCAGACCCAGATCACGGGCATACTCATACCTATCCTGTTCATGGAGGTCTCCAGACACAAACCCAGAACCTTCCCATGTGGGTCAGTTTTGCAGAGTACTGTATTACTGATCTCTCACTATCTAGCCCCTCAAACTTCTGGCCTGCCCCATCTACTTATGGGATCATCTAATGACCAAGCCTTTAGAAAAATCCAATGTCCTTCTGAGTGCTTGTGTGCCGAGACAGAAGGAAGAACGAGTGCTAAGAAGGTACCTAGAAGATACCATGGACCCAAGCTCCCTCAATTCTGCCCAGCCAAATGTCCTAGTTCAGGAGTTAGGGGACCTGAACTCTAATACTGGCACTGCAATTAATTAGCCACGGACTTATTAACCAAGTTATTTCAGGTCTTGGTTTCTCCATCAGTGCAACTAAGGGATTAGCTACAATAATCTAAGGGTCCATACAACTGAAATTTTATAACTCTATAGAGAATACAATGGTAGTTATTTAAATATTTATAGGAGCAATAAATATTTTTAGAGACATGGAACAATGGAAACAATTATAAAAACAAGCAGAATAATGACAATAAACATCTCCATTATCTCCCATCTGACCTTGTAATAGATTTTTTTTTATTAAATTTGCCAGATTGCCAGAGTGCAGGACCCCTCTAGAAAGAGACAGAGAGTGTGAAAATATTCCCCATGGGGCATGATCCCGCTATGATCCTTTCTCCATCTCTCCCTCCTCTGGGGATTTTGGGGATGATCAGCTATGAGGGAGTCTAGCACCTTAACCCACACCACCTGTTGGCCCCCCAAAACATAATTTTCATAATAAAAGTATGAAAAGAGTAATGATGGCAGAATCAGAGTTCGGAAATGCAGATGTTATTCATACAAAAATACATTATATAGCAAATATAAGTACTTCTTAGAACCTTAAACACTTCAGGGTACTAATTTATATGGGGGAAAACTGAAGGGATTAAGAATGAAACTTCAGGGACAGCAGGTGGTGTGGTGTTAAGGTGCCAGATTCTCACATGGCTGACCGTGGTTCAAATCCTGGACCTGGCGGCTTGAAAATCACGCCAGGCATGTGTGCATGCATTTCCAAATCTCAAGAGGAAAATGAAGGAGAAAGAATTGCAGCATGGCCATTCTCCTGGGGGGAGGGAGGGTCTTTCTACCTCTCACTGTCTTTGTCTCCCTGGTGAGCCGTGCTTTCCTATAGCAAAAACCTTAAAATACATACATACATAAAAGAAACTTCAGGACCTGCAAGTGGTGTGGTGGTTGGAGCAGCTGAATCCCACATGGCTTACAGGGAGGTTAAGTCTGAACCTGGTAGCTTGAAAAAACACATCAGGTGCATGTGTACGTATGCCTAAAATCTCAAAAGGAGGGAGCAACAGAGAAGGGATTGCGGCATGACCATTCCTCACGGCGGCTGCTTTCTCCTCTCATTCTCTTTGGTGAATGCATAGACCCTCAAGAAAGAAGGAGAAAGGGGGAGAAAATCATCCACGGATCCTTAAAACAATGTATGAAGTTTGATCAGGAACAGTATATTTACATAGTCTCAAAATATGACCTCACAAATTATCAATTACAAAGAAGACAAGGACTCTACAATGAAGAAATACAATACCATCTTAACAAAGGGATCAAAACTAACGACAAAAATCATGAAACAAACTGATATTATGTGCTTCAGTGATACAAATGAAAAGAACGAAAAGAGACAAAAAAGGACCAGAAATGGTAGAATGGTTATGTCGCTGGATTCCCACATCACCAACCTGGTTCAAGTCCCAGACCCAGAAGTTTGAAACTCGTGTGTGTGTGTGTGTGTGTGTGTGTGTGTGTGTGTGTCCAAAATACTGAGAGAAGAATGGAGAAGAGGCTGTAGCGTAGCCATTCCCCCAGGGGGTGATTTCTCACTTTCTGTCTGACTCTCTCTCTCTCTGGCAAGTGCACACATGCTACAGTAAAAATCTCTTTTAAAACAAACACAACAACAACAAAAAGCTCATGCTATGCGTTTGCGTGTGTGCCCAAAATCCAGAGAAGCGAATGGAGAAGGGACTGCAGAATGACCATTCCCCCTCCCGGGAGGTGATTTCTCACTTTCTGTCTCTGTTTCTCTCTGTCTCTCTGGCAAAGGCATGTGCCCTATAGCAAAAACCTCTCTTTAAAAAAAAATTCAGGGGGTTGGCAGGTGGTGTCGTGGTTAAAAGTGCTGGACTCCCACATGGCTGACGCAGTTCAAGTCCCAGACCCAGCGGCTGGCTTTTTCACTTTCCCTCTTTCTCTCTCTCACTCTGTCCCTCTCTGTCAAATGAAAACAAATAAGTAAATAAATAAATAAAGATAAATAAAATAATTCTTAAAAAAAAACATTCAGGAGGAGAAACAGGACAGGAAGAACTTAAGTACATAATTTCATCTTTTATACATGGGTCAAAAGATTTCATCTAAAGATGATAAATATAGCAGATACAAGGATACATTTATGACAGAAGCGGTAGAGAGCTGGTATCGCAGTGGTAGTACAACTGGCCCCACATCCCAGGTTTGCATTTCACAGCCACCATGTACACGCTGTGCGTGACCCAGGCTAGCTGTGAGTGGGCTGCAGCATGAACACTCCGTTGAGGGATGCTTGTCTCTCTCCCTGTTTTTTTTTTTTTTTTTTCCCCTCTCTTCAACTGACACACACATAAAATAAACAATAGGGACCAGCAGTTAATGTAATGGCTATGTCGCTGGACTCCCATGTAGTAGACTGTGGTTCAAGTCCCGGGACTGGTGGCTTAAATTCACACCGGGCATGTGTGTGTGCGTGCCCAAGATCCTGAGAGGAGAATGGATGAGA